AGATTTGTACCAACAATCATAACTTGCTCAATGGTTTCAGTAGGTTCGGAGCAAAAGGGTGAGGGTTTTGATGGTCTCTGGTCGTGATCCCGTCGTCAATGAGGGTTTTAGTGATCTCAATAAGCAACGATGGCGTCGGGAGAGGAAAGAGGAGTCGGGAGGGATATAGGGCGACCGGGAGAGGAGCTGAGTCACCGGCAGAGGAGGATAGTGTGGGAGTTTGAGGGATTTATAGCAAAACCAGGAGAGAGAAGAGGAACCGCATGAAAAGGAGGAATTGGGGATTTTATGCAGTGATGTGGATGCTTTTCGACAGTTAAGCAATGGTACACAACAATTGATTTTATTTCAGATTCTAACTAACCGTATTCAAAATAGGTAAGTTTAAATAAATTGTCAAATTGTTTTCTAGTAATAAATGACAGGTTTAGGAGTAGTACTAGTGTCAAATTAACATATTAATTATTCGTCGCTAAGCTGTAGAAAATTTAAAAGATATTTGTGACACATACAAAGTCATCAATTATAAGAGCAATCATAACTTACTCAATGGTTTCAGCAGGTTCTGAGCGAAAGGGTGAGGGTTTTGATGGTCTCTGTAAGTCGTGATCCCGTCAATGAGGGTTTTAGTGATCTCAATAAGCAACGTTGGTGTCGGGAGAGGAAAGAGGAGTCGGGAGGGATATAGGGCGACCGGGAGAGGAGCTGAGTCACCGGCAGAGGAGGATAGTGTGGGAGTTTGAGGGATTTATAGCAAAACCAGGAGAGAGAAGAGGAACCACATGAAAAGGAGGAATTGGGGATTTTATGCAGTGATGTGGATGCTTTTCGACAGTTAAGCAATGGTACACAACAATTGATTTATTTCAGATTCTAACTGACGGTATTCAAAATAGGTAAGTTTAAATAAATTGTCAAATTGTTTTCTAGTAATAAATGACAGGTTTAGGAGTTGCACTAGTTTCATATTAACATATTAATTATTCGTCGCTAAGCTGTAGAAAATTTAAAAGATATTTGTGACACATACAAAGTCATCAATTATAAGAGCTTTTCCTGTTGTGTCTTGGATTACTCAAGATGAAATCGACCTGTTGCAGGAGACCACACCTTTGATCTTACCATCAAGCTTCAGGTCACTGACAAGGCTGATTAAGCTATTCCTTTGTATGATGTCATCTTCTCATTCTATAAAAGACCAATTTTAGTTTGGTCTCCGACTACGCCTCTTTCTTGTGCTATGTTCCATCTTCGTCAACTATGGCACATCCAAGCCCAGATCAAGCCAAACTCAATTGCGACTATCATGACCTTCATCATTACCTATGGATAGTAGAGAATGTTGTGGTCCATCTACCTTTTCAATCATCTATTCTCATTATGTGTTAGTCCATAATAGTTTGTGCAGTTTTTCTTCGATAGGCAATTTCCATCTATTGGAGCTGGAAAAAAAAAGTGAATGACTAGAAGCTTAACTCCTGTCTAGGTTCCTTCGTGCATGGGTGGTACATCTGAATGGTCCTATTTTGGGAAATCCCATAAAAAAGGAAGATGAATGTATCGAATAGGACGTTGTTGGAGGCGAACAAAGTCGAGCGGCAGAAGGTATTGTTCCACCAATACTTTGAGCTTGTGCTTATCAATAGGGTGTTGTAGCCCAATGTCGTTGGTGAGATGCCCGAAGAAGATTGTAAGGTCTCCAATGCCTCCAATGCCCATGAGGCCGAGAGGGAGACAATGGTGGCTACTCGGGCAGCCAAGAAGAATGTTCACTTGATTGCTCACTCGAAAAATGCCAGAGTGGCAAGTCAACATGTGTCAAAGGTGATTCTAGTTGCAGAAAGCTTGGAAGGTGTGGATATTATTTATTCTCTTTCTGACTTAATTGTTCTTTTTCAATGAATTGCAAGGAAGATCAATCAAGTTTAGAGAAATTGAGAATTTGAGAGATTTTATGTGATTGAATGTTTATAATTTCAACTTCTCGTGACTGAAGGAAGAGAGATAAGTTCTAAAGTTTTATTTTGTAATTAATTTTTATTTTCTTTGTAAAATTTTTATATTGTTATTTCTCTTCAATCAATTAATTAAGTTGGTGTGTCCAAGCATGCATAATGAGTAAACTATCCCTTCTTCCTTGAAATGGGGAGAAAGAAAGATGAATGCAGAAGTTTTTTTATAGATTTGTGTGTGATCAAACAGAAGCTTTCCCGAACAGAGCCTCTATACTCCATATCTGCTAAACAAAGTCCCAAAATTTCTCTCTATACTCCATATCTGCGAGAAAAACACAGCAAATCCGGCGGTCGTGCTAAGCAGTAGTGAGACATATGCAGCGCTGCAGGAGGCATGTGGCTCACCGGCACCGATCTCATTCGCTCGGCTGGAAGCGCAGGTCGCAACGGAAATCATGATGTCGTAGACTAAATAGTCGAAGTTGAGGATGATGTTGAGCACCGCTACTGCACGTTGAGCTTCTGGCAGCCTTCCGGCTAGTAGTATTAGAATTTCATAGCACCACTTGTTGCCAATTAATTACGGGTATGCTAATTGTATAAAAAGTTTTATCCCTATTTTCACTCTAAAATGGAGTAATTCACTGCTTGGAGTTTTTCAATACATGATCAATGCACTATATGGGCAATCGCACGCAAAAAAATTTCATTTATAGACAACTTGAAAGATTAGAATCATTAACATTTTGAGGCGTATTTAACGGTCAGAATTTTGACTGCATCCATCTCAACTCCAACGTTTATATTAAAAAATTTCTTAGGCTGGCTCAATCAAAATTAGCTATGATTTCTTTGTAATAGAATTGAATTTAAATCAAACGGATGCGAAAGTCAATTAAATAAATATAAATTAAATTAAATTAAATTATATATAATTTCAAATATTTTCAATATTTAAATTTTGAATTTTTCTCAGCTACCTCTATTCGATTTAGTTTTGATTCAAAACCGGGCACCATCAAACCTAAAGACTTATTCGTTTGGTTTACCAGCTATGCAATGGACCCTGGCGATCA